ATTATTAATTATTATTATTTAGTTCTTAAAAAAAAAAAAAAAAAAAGAATTTATTTTACAAAATTAAAAAAAAAATATTAATTAACTAATTATTCTATAAAAAAACCCAAAAAATTCTATACATGTATAAATTAAATATTAGTTATAATTTTTTTCTAATTTATAATAATACTAATCTTAATCTTAAAAATTAATTAAATGAATTAAGTGAATAATTGACTGATTAAATATAAATGTCTAATTAAATGTCTGAATGCCTTATTAAACAAATGTCTGATTATTAAAATAAAATGTTTTTAAATGTTTGATTAGAAATGTCTGAATGTTTGATGATGATAAAGTGTTTGTGTGAAAATAAATAAATGAAAGAATAATTATTTTTGTTAATTTACAGTATTATCAATTAATTAATTTGCGTTGTTGTTGTTGGGAATAAAGAAATGATAATACATCATTGGATTCATAATCTATAATCATTAACGTCCAAGTTAACTCCAAATTCTTCTATTTCTTATATTATAATATATATATATATATTGATTTATCACAATGTCTAATTAATCCATATTATTATTAATCAATTAATCCAAAAATTTATATCAATCCAATCTCATTCCATCATCATAATCATCATAATCATCATCAGTCTCATCTTCTGATACCCACATATCATCATTATCGATATTAACATTTACACCAATAATGTTAAGAACATCTACACCCATACCAATACCTACAACACCATTACCACCACCATTTACTTCTCTCATAACTCCAAAACAGCCTTCCAAAGCCAAGAATTTCAACTCTTTACACCATTTTCTTAAATCATCTAAACTTAAATCAGTCACCAACTCACAATACTTTAAATTTAACCATTTGATAGCCGGACATGTGACAGCGATCTCAGATAAAGCAGAGTCAGTTATATCGGTGTAAGAAAAATCCAGCGATTTAAGTACTTTACAACAACGAGCCAATTTTATAAAGCCATTGTCGGTAAAATTCGGACACTGCGACACATTCAAGGTGGTTAGGTGTGAGCCAAGATTATTTGCAATATAGATAAGTGACACGTCATGTAATTGATTACAAAAATTAATATCAAGAAAAGTTAAATAAGGACAGAGTGTCACTAAACTAATAATGTCTTGGTCGGTTATTTCTAGACGCCTATTTGGTCCTAATAGTGACAAATCTATTTCTCTGACTAGAGAACCTGAAGACTGAGGAATCTGAAGGAATTTGCGAAAACTGCCGATGTTGATTAGCTTAGGTCTATAATAAATTAACGGAAGTATGATGTGATGAAATTTCTTGGATACTATAAATATTCCATATAATGATTTTTGGTCATTTTTGAGGTGATAAAATATATCATTTAATAATTCTGGTGGTAAAAAATTCATCATATATATTATTTATTAATGTTATGTTTGTTTATTTAATTAATGTTAATAATAAAATTTTATTTTATTTTGTTGTTAATAATATTACCAATATTTACTAATTATAACTATTACTAATAATAATAAGGATGAAGAAAGAGAGCGGGAGAGTGGGAGAGAATGTGTGTATAGAAGAAATAAGGAATATAAAGAAGGAAAATAAATAAGAAAAAAAGGAAAGTAATTTAAGGGAAAAATAAAATAATAAATAAAATTTTTTTGGGTTAAGTTTGGTATGATAATAATAATATTTATTAATAATTATTAATATATTAGTATATAAGGAAAAAAAAAGGACCAAATAGTTAGGGGAAAGAAAGAAAGAGCAATTTTTGGGAATGTTAAAGAACAATGTAACCTACATAATTATATATATATATTATATATATCATGTATGAATATATATATATATATATATATATCGATAGTTAACACTAAATATTAATATTTAGAAGGAAAAAAAACAAAATTTCAAAGAATAATAAAATAACATAAATCAGATCATAACTTAAATTTTAACTGTTGTACAATTGTTTTTACAGTATTAGCTTAGTTTTTATGATGAAAACCATTTTGATTAAATTCTAAGATCTGCAAAAAATGTTTATTTATATTTTCACAAACCTCATGTAATTAATTTAATTTTGTTTATATTAAGCAAAGGCCAAATAATATCAGTAAATTAAAATAATTCATGATTGGTATAAAGAATAAAATTTATTTAAAGATTGCCTAAATCTCACTAAAAAATTTTATATAAACGGTTGGTCCCGAGTTCTATTTATTTATTATTATTATTATTATTATTATTATTTATTATTAATTGAATTTGCTAATTCAAGGATTAAATTGATTGATTAGTAAATATAAAGATGTCAAATTGGAAAAGAATTGTCATAATATGACAGTAAGTGTACAATAATAATACTCTATTGTTGATCTTGTAAAGAAAATTATGCTCTATAAATACTACTATCACTATTATCATCCACCCCTAAAAATAAATTTCTTTATTATTATTATATTTTGGAAATAAGATAGTACAACCAACACTACGCATTAGTATATTTTTTTACCCCTGCACATTTGTTTTTTTAATTGTAAAAAAATATAATAATCATTGTTTTTATTGTTTATGTGACACGAATGTCTTTATATTCGATGGGACATGACTGAATTTTACCAATTGAATCAGGCGGTAGGCAATATTTTGTACTTTTAGATATGCTGATTTGTGATATGTCTTTTTTTTAAGTTCAAATTTCTATTGTTGCCTGAATCAATCAATTTATGTAATCATTATGTAAAGGGTGATTTTGTAACTAACTTTATATTACTACTAATAATATTAACGTTTGAAAATGTTATCCAAGGTTCATTCAATCATCCAATAAACAAATAAATTGATCGATTCGAATAAAATGGAATAAATAATCAAATTGATATTCCTAAATTGTCAAGAATTATGTATTGATATTTGATTTTAAAATTTGTAGTGTTTTTATGGACCTTTTTTACTTGCACAAACTAACATCTCTACCCGTTTCCAGACAGCAGAACTCCATTTAAATAATTATAGCAACAAAAATAAAGATAATGCATAAATTAGTGCCATGGGTATTTTCCTTATCAACGAATACCTGTCTATGATTTTTATTTATTATAGCAATACTTGCTGATTAGAAACACAACACGATTATCGAGCAAAGGCGGAAATTTTTCCTTTTTATAGTAAAATATGAATATATCAAAGAATTGATAATTTTTTTGAGATTATAAATATATTATTATTATAATCCTCCAGAAAAAAATTTTTTTTCTCAAATGGGCCAAAAGCTGAGCAACGTCTCATAACAAACCTTGGGAGAGGCAGCTGTTTGGAGACAGGACAGATGGAAAAATAACAAACTTCTTGAGGAAAAGCTGATCAAAAATCCACAAACGACCCTTGACAACAGACTTGCTCTTTTTAATTCCCTTGAGCATTTATATACAATAGAATTTTTTGAAAAATCTTACTGTGCATAAAAATTTGACTGATAAATTTGAAACTCCGCAGTGGGTCAATATATTTTTAATAGGGTCAAATCTATTAAGGGATCCAAAAAAATTTGTATAACAATTTTTTTGCTCGCTCATTCAAAATAATTTATATATAGTAAATCATTTAGTTAAATCAATTGATTGGTAAATTTAATTTCGTTACAGTAGACAGTTTTAAAAATTTTAATGTTAGCATATATTATAGGTCAAATTATGTTCTTTTTTCTAATGTTATTGCAAACCTTGGGGTCAAGTCATATATTTTGGTCTGGGTAAATCATATGACAAACAGGGGATTTTGTTACTAACCCCATCTATGAAGTTTGTGGGGTCCTATTGTGACCTACCTGAGTGACCATAACTCATCTGTGCTTCGTTGTTCTGAGCTCTGACTTTTTTTATTGGCAATCCAAAAGGCAAACAACTATGAGTTATGGTTTGGCATTTAAACTTTAAATTGTGTATTGTGTTAGCTTTTTTCGTGGTATGTAAATATGGTATTATATAACTGAAGGTGTTTTTTGAGGGTGATTAAAAGATAAAACTCAATACTTGAAAAAAAATGTTGGATTTGGTGTGAAATAGCCAATATTATTGGCTTTTACTTGTTTTGTCAAAAATATACAAAAATATCAATGGATGATGATGGTGATAATGATGACTCATCAAATAAAAAAAAATCAAATCAAATAAATACATAATAGGAGATGATGATGTTGAAGATCATGGTTTTTGGTTTTGGTGTTAAAATATTTTTATATTATTCTCCATATTCAATTATTCATTCATAAAACAGCCAGTTAGTTAATTATAATAATATTTAATTATCGGCCAATCGGAATTTCGCATCCAATTAATAATAAATCTACTATTACACAACAAATTCTAATAATAATTTTGATTCGGTGCTAATATTTATCATCGATAGTAGTAGATTAATCACCGCCACCATTATTAGAATTAAAATTATTGAAAATTAGTTTTAATCGCAATTCAGTGATTCTAATTCCAAAAATAATATTCAATTTTAATAATATGTGTTTCAGTGAATCGTATTACTGTAGAATATAATATAATATACAGTATATATATATATATATATATATATATGCAGATATTTATTATTATCTATATTAATATAGTTGTCCCCTCTTCTTAATAATAATATAAGAAATAAATAAAACGAAGTCGGCCGATCGTATTTCAAAAATGAATAAATTAGCCATCCGTTTCTCTTATCCTTCATTATTATCAATAAGAATCATATTGGTAATTGATAAAATTCAATTAATTAACTATTTAATTTGCCCTATTAAAATACATTTCATTACTTAAATTTAATTCAGAAATTTCGTCATTTAATATTCTACTTGTATGATATGCTGATGGTGTGACTTGTGAATTTGTTGCAGGGTTGGCAAATTGACTGGTCCATTGGCATTAATAAAACACTAAATATAATTATAATGGACCCAATGGATCAACAATGGATAACACATTTGCCAACCCTGATTTGTTGTGAATTACTATTATTATTATTATCATTACTACTACTGCTGCTACTGCCACCAATATTAAATATTACGAAATTTATTATTGGCAAATACCTCAAGCTCTCCAATAGTTGGTCTTTTGGCTAGATCCACATCCCAACACTTTTGCATCATTTGTGAATAACGGTAATATTTGTGTTGTAAGCCTCCAAGTATAAGCAATGATTATGAGCTTTCTGCAAATTTTTTCCCACATTAACTATAAATATCTGATTCTTTTATGTTCTTATGTCCTCTAAATGGTTCTGTTGCAATATGTTATACAATTCCATAGATTTTATTTGATCAACTGGTCCACATAATCCTAAATCTGTAATAAAACTAACACCACTTTCATTAATTATAACTGTGTAAATCACAATGGATTAAATCTTTTTCATGTATAGAATTTAATACATCACATAAATAGGTAAAAAATATTGACTTTATCTTTTAACATTTGAATGATTTTTTTTGTAAATAATCTTTTAAATTCCCTAATTCAATGCTTGTGATTAATTACATAAATCAAATCAATTAATTTAACTAAAATAAATGGTTTAAATAAAAAGGATCTTAAAAAAAGATTTTATTGGACTTGATGGTTTTTGGTTTTGGTGTTAAAATATTTTTATATTATTCTCCATATTCAATTATTCATTCATAAAACAGCCAGTTAGTTAATTATAATAATATTTAATTATCGGCCAATCGGAATTTCGCATCCAATTAATAATAAATCTACTATTACACAACAAATTCTAATAATAATTTTGATTCGGTGCTAATATTTATCATCGATAGTAGTAGATTAATCACCGCCACCATTATTAGAATTAAAATTATTGAAAATTAGTTTTAATCGCAATTCAGTGATTCTAATTCCAAAAATAATATTCAATTTTAATAATATGTGTTTCAGTGAATCGTATTACTGTAGAATATAATATAATATACAGTATATATATATATATATATATATATATGCAGATATTTATTATTATCTATATTAATATAGTTGTCCCCTCTTCTTAATAATAATATAAGAAATAAATAAAACGAAGTCGGCCGATCGTATTTCAAAAATGAATAAATTAGCCATCCGTTTCTCTTATCCTTCATTATTATCAATAAGAATCATATTGGTAATTGATAAAATTCAATTAATTAACTATTTAATTTGCCCTATTAAAATACATTTCATTACTTAAATTTAATTCAGAAATTTCGTCATTTAATATTCTACTTGTATGATATGCTGATGGTGTGACTTGTGAATTTGTTGCAGGGTTGGCAAATTGACTGGTCCATTGGCATTAATAAAACACTAAATATAATTATAATGGACCCAATGGATCAACAATGGATAACACATTTGCCAACCCTGATTTGTTGTGAATTACTATTATTATTATTATCATTACTACTACTGCTGCTACTGCCACCAATATTAAATATTACGAAATTTATTATTGGCAAATACCTCAAGCTCTCCAATAGTTGGTCTTTTGGCTAGATCCACATCCCAACACTTTTGCATCATTTGTGAATAACGGTAATATTTGTGTTGTAAGCCTCCAAGTATAAGCAATGATTATGAGCTTTCTGCAAATTTTTTCCCACATTAACTATAAATATCTGATTCTTTTATGTTCTTATGTCCTCTAAATGGTTCTGTTGCAATATGTTATACAATTCCATAGATTTTATTTGATCAACTGGTCCACATAATCCTAAATCTGTAATAAAACTAACACCACTTTCATTAATTATAACTGTGTAAATCACAATGGATTAAATCTTTTTCATGTATAGAATTTAATACATCACATAAATAGGTAAAAAATATTGACTTTATCTTTTAACATTTGAATGATTTTTTTTGTAAATAATCTTTTAAATTCCCTAATTCAATGCTTGTGATTAATTACATAAATCAAATCAATTAATTTAACTAAAATAAATGGTTTAAATAAAAAGGATCTTAAAAAAAGATTTTATTGGACTTGAATTATTTAATCATATATATTTCCTCTTGTCCACCCAGCAATGTACCTTCTGTATATCAAAAAATTGCTCATAAGGCACTCATCCCATACTTTTTAAACGAATAATATCATCAATTGACAATTTAATCGGTGCAGTTCTACTCTCTAAGGAAACCCTCTCAGTTGTAGCGTGGAAGTTAATATCAGAATCAAGTATTCTAAATGAGCATTATCAACTGCCATTAAACCTAATAAAGGATCTGGTTTACTGTTAAAATATAATATATAGTAATAGGTTAAACATATATATTTACTTTAAATATTTATTAAATGGAATATTTAAAATAAAAGTTACCTGGGAATTACACAAGCAATCCAACTAACTTCTGATTTTTTTGATTTTCAAAGAATTATCCCACCGATAAACCATTATTATCATCCTTATTATTATTATCACTAATATTATTATTTTTATTATTGTCATCAACAGTTGAGATAATTTCTTCCAAATGTTTTAACCAATTACCAAGTTGAATTGCATAAATACCTGCAAAATGACACACATAAAACATGTCTTTATATTAAGGGTCCTTAATAGAATTGGAATGATTTAATGAAGTTGTAATTCTATTTGAGAAGGAACTATTTGAAATTGGTACAACAAACCTTTTAATAAATCCTAAATCAATGCTTTCATATAATAAAAGAACAGAAAGATCGATGAATTCATGTGATCCTTAATAAAATAAATAAATTTGTATGTAATAAAAATTATTAATGTTATAAATATTATTTATTAATTATATTTTATTTCCAATAAAAAGCTATCTGATAAAATAATAATATACCTGAATTTTTCAAAACGCTTCAATTTTATCAACTTCAAGAAAAATATCCAATCTACCACTACTAGAAGCTATGACAATTATACTAGTAGATTGGTTATTCAAATGGATTATATCACTAGCATCAAAGGGTGATGTGATAATTCCAAAGGATTTGACCTCATTGCAAATGGTCCTTGTAACAATAAATCATTTTGAACATTTGCAGGAGAAGAAATTTTTTACCTTGTATGATGATGGTGATGGTGATGGAAGTTTACTAATTTGTTGAAAAACATCACAAATCCATCTGTATTGCAAATGATATTGATTATCATATATTCGAAGATTTGAATCAGACGGTAGACGTTTTTTGGCTTCATATTTTTTAAAAATTATACAGCTAATTGTTCAATAAGTATCCTACAACTAAAGCTTTAGTTCATTAAATTGTTATATTATTAATAGTTAGATTGATTTATAAATAAATAAATAAATAAATGATTGATTGATTGATTGATTGATAAATAAATCAAATTAATACATTAGTGTTTTGCAATAGAAAAAAGCTTCTTACCAATTTTTTGATACTATTGGACACATCACATAAACATCTCCATTATTAAATAAAACACATACAATAAAATTAGACCAGCCCTTATCACCTTGACCAAAACTAAAGGAAATTGCTTTTGATGTTTCAGTGCCAAAAGAAAAAGCCTTTTCTGGGTTTTCACTGAAACAAAATTTTTGTTCTGGTTCATTACAATTAGATATATTGTACATTCTATTATTTTTACAGATAAATAAAGAGTAAATAAATTTAAATAAAATAATAAAATTTGATTTTTTTATAATAAATAATCATATAAATAAATGTAATATATTGCCTTAGTATTGCATCTTTAGTCAAAACCAATAAATGAGACATGCTAGTTAATGGATGCCATAATACCTTTGAAATAGGGCCTGATCCCTTCCATATGATGAAAAGATCCAATTAGATATGTTCTATTTATTTTGATAATTATTGTATAAATATCAAATAATTTTTCAAATATATAAAAGTAGTTATCAGTAAATAAATATGCTAATGAATTAAATAACCATATAAAGTAAAATCTTAATGATATTTGTGCTTTATTTTGTGACTTTGATATAATAAAATTTAGCTAGTGGAAACGAATTACCACCGATTCATAATCACCAACAACAGGATCACTTTTACTTTTTCTTTAAAATTTAATACTAAAGATCTAATTTTAAATTTAACCTTTGGTGTATTAAGTATTATATATTTAACGTTTGACATCCATTTTGGTATACGATGATAATTAACCTTATCATCATGATTGTCATCATTGTCATTACTAATATCATTATCATTGTCAGAAATTTTCACACAATTCATTATTCTCACTTGCATGTTGCCAAGCATCATTAAACTCCCATATTTAATATTCATATTTCAGATCCTACAGCTACTATAAGATTATTTTCCTCAATGACTATACATGATTGTTTTCTTTTTGGTTTTCCATAATTCTCCGATCCTATTATTGCTTTTTATTTTTTTGGTTGGAAAGATAATTTTTTAAAATTTTTATTTTTTGTTTATAGAGACAAGTTGATTTACCAATTGTATTTGCTAATTTTACACTGTCAGAATATAAAAAATCGGATGGCCATTAATATAATCCAACCAATTTAAATTTTTATTCAATTAATTATATAATTAAATTAGTTTTTATTAATGAAGAAAACAATGTGATCTTTGGTAAATGTAAAATTTTTGTCACATGATAATTTTGTATTATTAAATAAATATTTAAGAAGTGTATATCTTTTTAAAAATATAGATTATTTTCATCAATTTTTAATATTTCATCATTATTACCGTTATACGGTTCAGATACAGTTATTACTGATTCCTCTTCTGTTTCGTCCTCTTCAAAACTTGAATTTTCTGATATTTTAAATTTATTGGGATTTAATGCTATTATAGCTTCAATATTTTGCAAATCTATTGCAATGTCAACTGGTAGCTAATTATATATGAATATATGATGTTAGAAAAATATTAGAAGACAAAATAAATAAAGAATAGTTTTTAATTACCTTTCCATCTTTATCCTTCAAATTGATATTAGCGTTTCTTTTTAAAAGAGTTGAAATTCTTTTAATGCTATTGCTACCACCACCACTACTATTAGTGCCATCGTTATTACTACTATTATTACTATTATTACCATCCTTATTATTTATTGTTGCTGCTGCATAATGAAGTATGCTTCGACCATCCTTATCAACAGAATTTATATCAACTTGCCATAAAAATAAAAATTCCAATGCTAATTCATCATTTCTTTGAATAGCCTGATGTAATGATGTTGTGGAATTTTTTTCTTGATTTTTCCAATCAACATCAGCGCCAAGTGCTAGATATCTTAAGGCTTCATATAGATTTGTTTGATTCATAGCATTCCAAAATTCCTAATGATATTATTATAGTTGGACAGTTAGTGTGTGCAAGTAAATAAAATAAAATTTGTTATTAGATATTCTAATATCGGGGACTTTTCAATAGAAACAGAAAGAGCTCCGAAAAAAGCAATTTTGTGTTAGTGTGATTTCATTCCTATACATGTAACCCTTTATGTAGAACATTTTTGGCTTAGAAATTATACCCATTTTGCATAATGGTATTTTAAAATTTTTAAAAACAATAACAAATTCAGAGTTTCCCCATGTTTCTATTGAAAAGCCTGCGGATTATAATATATATTACCATGTTGATAATTTCTAAAGAATTGGAACTTTCATCATCTTTTCGAGCTACAAATTCTTTTTTTACATATTTATCAGTAATAAATTTATCCCTATATTATTAATTAATATTAAATTTATTATATTGTAATAGTATATGAATATTGAATTCTTCAAATAATTAAATAATATAAAAACCTTTTCCATGATGGATCTGTAATTATTTTATTTTTATAATCCTCGTCAAGTTTGGCTTCAAATATTTCATTTATTTTGGAATTCCCTAATTTTAGCATTATATCTATTGATTCTTGTTCCCACTTGTCCAACATTAATGATCTAACCTTACTAATATGAACGCCTAAACTACGATGAACTCCGGAACATTCAATACACAATAGAATACCATAATTCGTACTTGCCCATTGCGGATCTATTTAATTTATTTTATGGTTAATAATATATGAATATTAATAATAATATTAATAATAATAGCAATTATTAATTATAATTTAATTATAATTGTTCTTACCGCTAGTTCTACAATCTGCACATTTTGAATTTCCAGCAATTTCTTTAATTTTATTGATAAAATTATATTTTAATTGTAATTCTTCCTTAGTAAGGCCACTTTCTCTAAACTCAAAATCATCAACAATGTCATATTGAAGCAATTCCTAATTAAAATTAAAATAAAATTGAGAAATATAACTTGAAATGATTGGCAACAAATTTATTATAATTTGTACTATTTACTTGAGAAATATTGCTGTCGACTTTTTGAGATGATGTTGAAACATTATCTGAATATAATGCCATTGTAGCTGCTGCATTTAAACAATTGATCCAATCTTCCATGTCTTCTTGATTTTCAGCTTGTAAAATATAAGTTCTTTAAAAAAGTATTAATTTTATCATATTATATATATAAAATAAAAAAAAAATAAATTAATAAATATAAATACTTTATTTATATATACAAACCATATTTTAAACATAAATTATTAAATCTAGTCAATAATTAGTAATTTTAAAACCTCGTTGGTGATATTATCACAAAACAAAATCTTTTGTCAATATTGTCAATTGGTTTCACATGGCAAACTCTAAGCTTTATAACACCAGAAATTTCGTTGTTTGGAATCTTGTGATATATTAACATTTAGTTAGAAATAACAAATAAATAAATATTTTTTTTTTTAGAAAAAATAAATGAATATTATACTTTAATATTCCTGTTACGATAATATAGTAATTCTCCTGAAATAGTAAAATATTTACGAGACCATGATTGCATAACTCTTTTATCAATCTTCATAAACAGATATCCAGATTTATTGCTACAATTATTATAGTCATTATGATTATCGTCATTGTTGCTATTGTCATTTATAGATTCCTGATTTAAATTAGATTTATCATTGTCAGAAATTTTCACACAATTCATTATTCTCACTTGCATGTTGCCAAGCATCATTAAACTCCCATATT